GAGAACTCTCCTCTATATCTTCATCTTTTCATACAGCTCCATATTCCTCTTGTGGGCTTTAATTCGAACCGTTTATCTCGTAGGCACTGTAATAAAAATCATCTATGCAAAAAATAAGCTCCATCGAACAATTATAAACACATGAACAAATCGCAATTACTTTGTTTAGTTTTGATTGATTTTCTGAAAATTAATTTTTAATTTTTTGTATTTTTTTTATTTAGCGACTTTTTTTTAATATTTTAAGTAATTTTTATTTTTATTTTTATGTTTTTTTAGATGTAGCTAAAAAGTAAAATATTTGTGAATTTTTTTAAAAAAAAATCAATACACAATAATATGAAAATGCACTAAAATTTTTTATATATATATTTTTGTATTTAATGAGTTTTTAAAGATTTTTTCATAAATATTATATTTTTTAAGTGTATTTATGTTAGGTGTATCTTAAAAATAAAAAATATGGAAAACAAATAAGTCAATTTTCTGAAACCAAACAAGGTGATTTTGTTTTATAAAATAAATAGCAAATATCTTTATGAACTTAAACTATTTATTTTATCAAGCAAAATGCGATTAGTTTTTATGTTTATAATTGTCTGATGAAATTGATTTTTTGCATGAATGACATTTATTGCAGGACTTAGGAGATAGATTGCTTGGATCATTCGTGCGAATCCAAATTGAGGCTCATAACAAGAAAAATATTAGGATAAATTACACTGACACCCCTTGAGGTTTAAGTTTGATACAGATTCCTCATCCACCTTTCAAAAATTACACTGCACCCCTTGTGTATGGCATTTAAATATGTGTGTGCATAGTGCAATTTGGGCGATTTGAGAGTAAAATTATAAATCGAATGGCGGATTGGCAAATTGCGGTTTGAGTGGTTTTTGGCAGATTGACGGATTGAAGAATATTCTAATTAATTATCAAGTTTTTGCGTAATATATGACACTAATTTGCATAATATTTTTCATATATATATCACAAACTAATTTTACATAATATTTTTCATATATATAACTACTAATTTGTAATAAATTTCACATATTAAATCTCTCTCACTTATTTTTACTTTGATATTTCATTATATGTTAAAAAATACATATGTATTAATTATAGCATAGTAGAGTGAAACGGTTTCGAATGCGAATTATAAATTTTAAAGTGTAAATTGTAGCCGATTATAAATTTTGAAGTATAAATTGAAGTTAGCAGATAGAACGGTGCGGATTGATGTGGACGAATGCAGTTTTAACGGATTGAGCGATATTTTGCACAGCCCTACATTTAAATGGGTTAACTGAAAACATAAATTTACTTTAATACCCTCGCACTTAAAAGGAAAATTACCAAATTATCGCACCTAATAACAAACTTTTCTTTTCATAGGACTCTCTCTCTCTCGCTCTCTCTCCCTCATCCGTCATCTCTCTCGGACCATCCTCCATAATCCATCTCATTCATGTTGAAATTTCAGTGCTCTTTTGTTTGTTGTTACTTGTGGATGCCTACGTTTTGTTGACTGGGTGTTGATTTTACCATTTACTTTTGGGATTTTGCATTAGTTGTTTTGCACTGGGTTATTTCACCAAAAATCTTATGCACATTATATGTTTGATTAATTGATTCAAAGAAGTAATTTTCTCTAAACATGAAAGCCTGCTTTGATTTGTTAGGTGGTGATGTGGTAACGCACGGTGGTGATGTGGAGCAAGGGGGAATGATGACTTAGTGGCCATTTGGGAAGAGGAGTAAAAAGCTACGTTTTACTCCATGACAAAAAAAGCCTGGGCAGCAATAAATGTAAGAAAACCATTTGGGAAGTGATAAAAACGCAAGCATGTGAAATTATGTAACTACCTTCCATGTTCAAATACACAAATGAGTAAAAAAGTAAATTTTTTAAGTTGGGTAAGAGTATTTTGGTCATTTTAACATGATATGACACCATAAAAAAATATTAAATCAAAAAGTCAAAAAATAATTTTTTTACCAACTTCCCAAATCAGTTTCTAAAAAAATTAAAAAATTTGATAACAAGCAAAAGTTAGTATTTTACTAACTTCCTAAAACACCCTATTGTTGTTTGTATGGAAATATATATATATATATATATACCGAGGAGGGAAATAAAGAAAAGGTAAAATTGGTATTTACAAAAAAAATAACAGCTAATATTAACAAAACCTATTAGTTGACTTAACATTCGACTAAGGTAGGATAATTTGTAATGTGACTTTAAATATCAAAGATAGAGTTGTAATCTTTAGAATGTAAAGGACGAATTTATAATAAGTGTAAACTTTAAAAATTATCAGTCTAATTTACCCAAAATATTAAGAAATATGACGGTTAGTATGGAAGTAACTTATTCCAAATTTGGCAGTGCATTCATATAGAGACAGCTTGAATTTTGGAGTTCCACAAGGAAGTGAAATGCTCAAATTATAATGTCATTACTGATGACGTCTCTCAAGATTGTCATTTATATCATCAGCATGGTGACTTTGCCTTAACATACATTACCGACATTGTTAACTTCATTTTCTTCTTTTGTTTCAAACGTATCGGAAATTCTATGAATGTTTAGTCATTATTTTTTTTTTATATATTTTAATTATGACTCTATAGGATTGAATTATGATATTTATGATAATCAAATTTATAAACGTTATAACTTACATATGACAAACATTGTTTTGAAGATATGTACCATAGTATTACCTTAGAAGTAATAGTAATTTTTTTTTAATGGATGTTTAAAATCAAAATTTTAATTTTGTTTTGAATTATTTAAAAAAAATTAATTTGAAAAACATTGAAAATACTGAAAATATATTTAAAATTTTTAATAAATATTTTCTGACCACAAAATAAAATTATATGAAAATGATGATTGTTTCTTTTGTATTTTTTTTTCTTTTTTTATATAAAAATTCTATTTTTTTTTTTTGTGCAAACCAAACAAAACAAAATCATTTTTTTTCATAATTTTTTTTTTTAAATTACACTAAGACTCTTTCGGTAAGTCAGAATTCACCTCCAGTATCCCATTTACTTTTTAATGATGATATATTGATGTCTTCATTGGTTTCTAAAAAATCTAAAATCGAGAGATATTGATTTATGCCTATCTTTCAATTTTAAATAGTGAATACCAAACTCAATGAAACAATCAATAACAAATTCACACAATGATTTAACGTGAAAAAAATTGGAGCCTTCAATTGTGATAAAAAAAAATTACGGGTTAAAATCACAAAACAATCCACTAAGAAGATAAAAAACAATTACACAAATGTACCCTCAATTATCTAGCAATTCCATGCTTGCATTGAACTGGCCTCGATGTGCCTCTTCCACCATCATCTTCACCTTAGAATTGTCTTGCCCAATGTTGAATCCAGAACGCTGATGTCAAATCCACAACGATGAGATATTTTAGAATCCACCAAAGTTTCAGGCCCAAGTTTTCCGTAATCCACTGAGGAACACCTCTCTCTTTTGTGAATAAAAGAACACAAACAAACCCCTTGATGATGTTCATATGAAGTTCATATATCCATTGATCACTCTCAAATCATCAAGGAAACACATATAAATCACCCTTCAATATAAAACACTTTGTTTTTTCTTCCTTTCGAAAAATCTAGACGGATTCAAACCTAAAAACAGCAAATGGTGTGCTTTATAGTAAACAAGATCGCGAAGACCTCTCAAGTGCACATTACATCACTCGAGTGGTATAAGTAAAGGTAGTGCAAAACATATAGAGCGACCGCTCAAGGGCAACATTCACCGCTTGAGTAGTAAAACTTACTTCTCAGAAGTTTAGTTTGCAAGCAGAGACACTGGATGCTCCTCTTCATTGCTTGAGTGCACAAATGACTACTCGAGCTGTCAAACAACTCGACTGCATTTTTTGCTTTGGAGGCGCTGCCTCATGGACCTCCTTGTACATAGTCAGCAAAATGGCAAACTCAAGCACAATTCGGGTTGTATTCGCATTTAAACACTCACAACCTCACTGAAACAAAAGAGCGAATAAAATTACAACTGAAAAGAATTTTGTCAAACGAGATTGCCAATTACAAAAACTAACAATTTCTTTAATCCTTTTGTGATGAGTCGGGCTTGAAAATTAATTATCACAAGTCCGAGTTGTTTGTTAGTCCTATTGTTACCTCTAATGGCATAAAACTTCTGGACGTTTTTAAGATTTGTCGTGTGAGTAAGCCAAGATTTTATTTGGGGGCAACTCTGGATTTTATGAGCATAGAAAAAATTGAGGTTTTTCGAGCATTAATAGAGAAAATTTAGAATAAATTTCAAGGCTAGAAGTGTAGTCTTCTCAATATTGTTGGGAGGAGTACTTTGGTTAGACATGCCCTTCAAACAATACCCATCTATACTTTCTCTTTCTTTAAGATTCCTAAATATGTTTTGGACATATTATCTTCCATCATCTCAAATTCTTGGTACTTCTGAAGGCATGGGTTTATGTTGGCGAAGTTGGGATAAGGTTGTATGCCTATTCATTGGGGAGGTCTTGGTTTTCAGAATCTTGGATGTCTAAACCAATCTCTGTTAGCTAAACAAGCTTGGTGAATTTTTTCAAATACTGAATCTTTGCTTTCCAGAGTTCTTATGGGTAAGTATTATAGTAAGGAGGGTTTTGAAAAGGTTAAACCATGTTCCAATGCATCTTGGGGCTGGAGGTAGTGGCGGAGTCAGGAATTTAATATGGATGGGGGGGGGGGCACCTATTAATTACAATCTCAAAATTTTTATTCCCCAATCAATAACAATAACATAATAATAATTTTTTGAGCTAATGTTAAACATTAAAAATTAATATTCATTACAAAAAGTTTTTAATTTTAAACTTTTACAATTGACCCTGACGAGTTTTCATCTTTTGACATCTTTCTATGATAGTATCATTGTCAATGTCATTAAAAATATCTCTCTCAATGTAGACAACCATGCTATCATTCATTCATCCATCCATCACCCATTTGGTTTCGCAACCGATTCTTCACAATATTCATAGCTGAAAATACCCTCTCAACAGTAACAGTTGCAATAGGTAAGATTAATGCTAAAGTCAAGAGAAAATACACCAAAGGATATACTTTGTCTCTTCCAGTCTCCACCATTTTCTTAGCAAGATAGGCAATTCCATTCAACATTGAGAACTCACTACTGGATAGCATGTCGATAATATATGTATCAAGTACAATGAGCTCCACTAAAGAAAATTCTTTGGGATAAAATTCAGCAAGATGAATTAACTTTTTCCCGTCAAAACTAGAGAAAAAGTTAGATGGATTTAAGCATGCCACACAAAGTAACAACTGAATGTTTGACTCAGTGAAACGAGCATTTAGTTCTTGAATTTGCATATCCAAAACAGTGTAGAATAACTCAACACGATAGTGATGTAAGTTTGTAATTTCTTGAGCATTGTGCCTTTTTCTCCCTTGAGCTACAAACATATCTTCCATTTGGGGAAAATCAATTTCATGCTTTTCACAAAAAGACAAAATATCATCAAGTAAAGATGTCCACCCACTCTCCCTCATCTTTTGAAGCTGTACTTTAGAAATTTAAACTAAATTCATGGCATTAACAATAGCCTGATCTTTCCTTTGCAGTGCTTGCGATAACTCACTTATAATAGCCAATATCGTTTTCATCAAATAAAGGTTGAATATAAACTCAAATGATTGAATTGAGTCCAATAATACATTTGCTTCTGCTCGTTGTTCTGAATTTAAACCATCCTCTGAAATCCTTTCAAGCACGTCAATCATTGTTGAAAACATACTAGCTAAGCTGACTAAAGTACCATAGTGTGAACCCCAGCGTGTATCACCAGCACGTTTAAGATTAGTTTCTTGATTTAAGCTTTGCCCACTAGATAGCTTTCTAGTGTTAAGTGCCTCAGCAACTTTTGCAGCTTGCTTCTCCCTAACAATATCTCGGCTTTTACATGATGCTCCAACAGCATTCACCACATTAGAAACCAAAGTGAAAAATAAAGCAATTTGATTATGATTCTTTGCCATGGCTACAAGTGCCAATTGCAATTGATGAGCAAAACAATGAATATAATAAGCACAAGGATTCTCTTTCAGCGTAAGTTTTTTAAGACCATTGAACTCACCTTGCATATTACTAGCCCCATCATATCCTTGACCTCGCAATTTGGAAATACTCAATCCAAGTCTGGAGAATAAATTTTCCACAGCTTGTTTGAGTGAGAGAGCATTCGTATTAGCAACATGCTCAATACCTAAAAAGCACTCAATCACTTGGCCTTTTTTTGTCAACATGTCGTATTATAATTGCCATTTTCTCCTTGATTGATATGTCATGGGCTTCATCAATCACAATAGAAAAAAGTGCATCACCAAGATCAAATGTGGCTACATTTACAATGTCTTTTTGAATATCAGGAGATGTTAACTTGAGATTTTGTGGAGCATTGCTGAATGCAACCACTTTGACATCTTCATTATGATCAACAAGAAACTTGAGAAGTTCAAGAAATTTTTCTTGGTTACTTGAATTTTCATATTCATCATGCCACGAAACGCAAGTCCTTGTCTTAGAAGAAATTTGACACAATCAATCGATGAATTCAAACGGGTTCGATACTCAATTCGAGCTTAATCAGATTGTTTGAAAAAAATCGTTTGAATATGTTGGTTTTGTTTTAACAAGTCTTGACATTTACTCGAAACTTGATTATGAGCACTATTAGGACCTCCAACATGAGTCTAAATTTTTTCTTTTTTCTTCCAATTTGAGAAACTCTCACCAACAAAAGAATCACCACCAGTTTGATCTCCAATATCGGCTTTGAAAAGATAACAACATAAACAAAATGCTGCATCTTTTGCTATGCTATACTCCAACCAATTAGGAAATTCACTAAACCAAGCCTGATTAAATTGCCAAAGTTTTTGTCCAAATGATTTTTGTAAAAAATTATGATCACAAGACCTTTTTGTAGATATGCTCTATGAATTTGGTCTCGATATAGTCCATAATCCGACGCCATAGTCTTGGATCTGTAGGAAGGTCTACTAAGTTGATTTCTATGCGACTTTGTTTTGCGGAAGAATAATTATCATCTTCTTCCAAAAAAATAAAATAAAATAAAACAATCATGGGTGCTTGTGGTGTGTGTGTCAGTGGGTTTGAGATCTATTTGGAAGCGTTGTGTATTAGAAGGGGCATTGTGTGTGAAAGCTAGACTCCACAAAACATAAAAAATAAAAAATAAAAAATTCAAAAGTCAGGGGGGGCACGTGACCCCCTTGGGCCCAACGTCCCTCCGCCATTGGCTGGAGGAGTATTTTATGGGGTTGGCATTTGCTTTTTCTGGGATAAAATGGGTGGTAGAGAATGGGGATCGAATTAACCCTTTAGATAACCCTTTAGAGGACCAATGGATTCCTTTCATTGATAATCCACTCATTGAGCAGGGTTTGTCTCGACATTTCTCTTATTTAACAGTCTCTCATTTTATTGATAAACATAATAATTGTTGGCGGTTGAATCTTTTGAAGTTGTTCTTTCTGAAAATGTGCATTAAACATATCCAAGGCATTCATGTTTCGGTTATGCCTTTGCCTGACAAATCAATCTGGAGTCGCACTATGTATAGGGATTATTCTGTTAAATCTGGTTATTAGCAAGCATTAGAATGTTTGGTTATATGTAAACAGATTGTAATATCTCGTAATAATCCCATTTGGATGTGGCTTTGGAAGCTCAAAATACCCCTCAAATGAACTATGTTGTTATGGAAATGTCTCCATAATATTCTTCTAGTTAGACATATTTTAAAATGCTGGAATATGCTAAATGATGCAATATGTCCAAGATGTTTGTGGGAGGAGGAGACGCTAGAACATTTGTTTTTCCAATGCTCGGATTCACACACGATTTGGAGGGAAAGCCTTTTAAGATTGGATTTTCCTATTGGAAAGCCTATATTATTTTCTACTTGGCTGGATAGTTAGAGACAGCAAACTCCTGATATGGATTGTATTTGCAAACTTATTGTTGTGCTTGTTGGAAAAAATGGATTTTGGTAAACTTTAATATGAAATTAAAGTAGGTCCCAACCATTGGTTGATGTGGGATTAAATGAGTTTAGATTCTTTGTAACAAGGTCTTTACACCACATAAAGAATGACCAAAAATTATTAAGAATTGAATGAGAAATTATCTCATAAAGATGGCCTCATGAATAAGGTTTTGGGAATTGTGTATAACTACCAATCCCACATTGATTGTGGAGGAAAACTTTGATGGGTATTTAAGCCTCGAGATTATGAGAAGGGCATGAGCCCTTTGGGGCATCCAAATTTTCCAAAAGAAGGGAGGTATGGATGCTTTAAGGATGGGCTTGGGCCAAGACTATGGTCCAAGTTAGTTATGAAAAAATTGCTACACGCGCGTGAACACTGCCCGCCCGCCTGGACCGGGTCCGTGGTCCATGATCCGTGGATCGTGGATCTTGGGCTTGGGCTGATGCTTGAGGCTTGTTGGAATGGGTTAGGTTTGGGCTGGGCCGGATTGGTGGTCCACCAAGTTATTCTTTTTGGGCTAGGTTTATTGCAGGCTCAAGTCTGTTGCAGAAATGTAAATACACATATGTGTATATTGTGTGTAACTCACACTTTGAATTCCTATCATTTTTGTGCATTACTCCAGCAGTTTTGCAGAAGTAATGGCCTCCATTAGTGGCCAGCCTTGATGGCTAGAGACTCCTTCTCTCTTCCCCATTATGTATAAGAAGAGACCCATCTCTTTTTGGTTTTGTACACAAGTTTTGCTTTCCAGTCATATAATCAATTTGCTTACTAGTATAATAATCTTCCTGTGTGAGAGAGAGTGCTCGTATTGTCAGTTCGCCAAGCTAACAGAAGGTGATTCGGAGTTAGCCGGTTTAAGCCATCTTATCCTGTGAGACAGAAGTCGACGTTCCTCCAGCACCCACGGTGAGGTGGCTAATCAGTTTTAAGGACACTGTGGTATCACACAGAATTTGGTTTGCTCCATTGTTTTCAATATTTTTGTTAATCTTATTTCATGCTCTAGAATGTAATTTATCAAAGATGGATTAATTGGATGTATTTTAATTTAATTTATCAAATCATGAATTTATTTATCTTGTTTAATTGTACATGTTTAACAACAAACTTAAAATAGATTAAGGTTTCTCATTAGAAAAATAGATTCATATAAGATAAATTTATTCTGTGGCATAGTTGTAGTAGATACTAGATTAATTATTTTCCTAAAATTTGCTTCTATAGTTGCATAAGAAATTGGATTAATTGTTGATACTACTTTGTTCATTTTCTAGAAAGGCCACTGTGTTGTATGGGAAAGGAGGCGATTGTTATGTTTAGTAAATTAAATATTGGAAAACGGTTGGTTGGTGTTGAATGCATGATCAAGAAATTTGTGTACATATGATGTTGCTTGTGTCAATCCTTCATTATAATAAAATATATAATTATAGATAGATGCATGCTATTGATTGCTATACCACCAAAACCAATGTTCTATGTATATGCAAACTGCATGTTTTAGATTCAATTGGTTTACATGTCACTGCTTTTGTATGCTACTATTGCAAGTCCATTTATTTTATAATTCACTAATTGAGTTATAATCTAGTGTTTAGGTTATTTAAATAAACAAATAATTTTTCCATGCCTTGTAGTTCTAGATCTTTATCATAATTTACATACTTCTAGTTCTATAATAAAATTTGCATGTTAAATTGCTTATAGTTGTCTAGAAATATTTACATGAAACTTGCCTCCTAAAATTACAGGCTCCTAATTAGTTTCTAGTTTCAATTATAAACAATATGCTCAATATCTATTACATTTTAGTTTAATTCGCATGCTTATTATTTCCTATAATTTGCATGTTCTTTATTTTCTAGATTTGGGAATAGGTTAGATGATTTTAATTGCTAGAATTATTTACATGCTTAAATTCATCTATAATTCATGCTAATTGATTTTAATTTAATTTTCTTGTCTAAATTTATGTACATGATTATTGTGTTATAATTTCCAATAACTTTTGTCAATTAATTTAGTTTTAATTTATTTGGGAGTTATAAGTTTAAATGTTTATTGTGAATTAATTTCATTTATAAATCATGACTAGTAATTTTTAATTTAAAGTTTGAATTTAATCTTAGTTACAAAAATTTTAATTTAAAGTTTGAATTTAATTTTGGAGTTACAAATTTTATTTTTAAAATTGTACATTTATTTGAAGTTTTATTTGTGTAACTTATATTGCATTTTTTTAAAAAAATTTACTTAATTGTGCTATTCATGATAATGCTAGGAGGGTTAAGTACAAGTTTTATTTATTTATTTTGTGCTTTGCTACTAACTTTCTTGTAGGCATACCAATGCGAAAGGAAATGGAAAAACAAAAAATCAAAACCAAATGAATAGATTTGGGTTGCACAAACGAAATTTATGGACTATTTGATTTAAGCATTTTTTGCTTGAGAGTTATTTGGTTTGTTTACCAAGTTGTAAAAGCAAGTTTTATTTGCTTATTTTGTTGTAGCAATTCTTAAATTGCATATAAGTGTAGAACCTTGGTTTGTGTTAACCTAGGTCATCCCTTGGAAAACTTAATTCTAAAAAATGTTTCTCATGGACTAGGAGTCAACATGCTCTTGAAAGTTTTGTCAAAAGGTTAACTGAGTTTTAAGTGGGACCGATGTGACCTCTCCAGTCTTCCTGGGAACATTCTTAACCATGTTCGATTCTAGGTTTAGTGGTGAGACTAATTTTGAATTAACTTTTCAACTATGGGATTTTCTAGTGTTAAGTTTAATTTCTGAAAACACAGAAAGTGATATTCTGGTGTAATTTTCAAAAATAGAAACTATCACTAATGCTATTGCTACTGTTAACGTTGGTAGGGATCTGAACCCTGGGGCAACTGGGTTGCCAACCCCTACTGCTGTGACCTCTGTGGTCAACCCTGACGTTACTCCGGCTGTTCCAGGAGGACTGCTCAGTCACCATGAGCGCCCAGAGAAATTTGCTGGGGTGAACTTCAAGAGATGGCAGCAAAAGATGTTGTTCTACTTGACGACGTTGAACCTTGCAAAGGTTTTGAGTGAGGATCCTCTAGCTGTGGCAGAGAATGAGCCAGACAGGCAGAAAGTCATGGTGCTTGACACATGGAAGTATACAGACTATCTTTACCAAAATTATGTGTTCAATAGCTTGGTAGACTCACTATACAGTGTGTTTTGTGCCAAGAGCTCAACAAAGGAGTTATAGGAGTCTCTGGACAAGAAATACAGGACTGAGGACGCCGGGGCAAAGAAATTTGTCATTGGCCGGTTCCTGGACTTTAAATGATCGATTCAAAAATTGTGATAAGCCAAGTCCAAGACTTCCAAGTGATCTTGCATGAGATTCATGCTGAGGGGATGCCGTTGAACAAGTCATTCCAAGTTGCTGTGATCATTGAGAAACTTCCCAATGGTTGGAAGGACTTCAAGAACTACTTGAAGCATAAGCGCAAGGAAATGTCCATTGAAGAACTGATTGTCTGACTCTGAATTGAGGATAATAGAAAGAAAAGAGGGAGTACCTCCTTTGTGAAGGCCAATGTCATTGAGCATGGCAAATCTTCTGGGGTGAAGAAGAAGTCTCCTGTGAACAAGGACTCAAAGTTGGGGCCAAGGGGTGGTGTTGCAAAGAAGTCGGCATACAAGCCTCAAGAACCTGGTTATTGGTTCTTAGGGAAGTGATACAACTGTGGTAGCGAGGGACATCGGTCTAGTGACTGCCGCAAGTAGAAAAAGCCATATAAGACCAAACCTCGTGCTTATATGGCAGCTATACATGAGCGCGCTCATGAGGAGGATGACATGCACTTGTCTGCCGTTGTCCCTAAGGTAAATTTGGTGGGTTCAAACCTAAGAGAATGGTGGATTGATACTGGGGCTACACGCCACATTTGTTTCGAGAAGAAGCTGTTTACAACTTT